ATGGAGGCCTTACAATCAGGTTGCAGAGAGTAACCAACAGCCCAGGGTGATAACCTAAATTGTTTGGCCAACGACTCTTGAAGACGTTACTCAATACTAGCTCCTGAGATTGTAACTGATCTCATAAAACCCGTAAGTGGCATATATTTATTACATTATTCCTAAATTTCCATTATACCATGATTTGCAAATTTTTTTTTTTCATTTTAAAAAATAAACCTTCCAGATGTGATGGTGCACACCTGTAATCTGAGTACTCGAGAGGCAGATGACTGGGCTACATAGTAAAATCCTATCTCTTTTTTTGTCTCACACACACACACACACACACACATTGAACGTAGTTTACCAAACTACGTATGGTAGTCTAAAGGTAGCTGCTAACACTAAGAAATGAGCATGAGGTGTCCGCTGGCCACACCCACCATAGAGTTCAGAAGGCCTTTCCTCAGCTCATGCCCATGCTGCCCCTGAAGGAGAAGCAAAGGAAAAGGAGAATAAAGAAGAGTGGGAGTTGAGGCGTGTACGAGATGAATGAACGGCTACCACACGCTCTGCTAACCACAGGGAAACGAACCCAGTTTAAAATGGGGGGGGGCACTTCCACCCTTGTACATGCATTTCTTTTTTAAAACAAAACATGACCACTTTGAGAAAACTGCAGAACCAAATGAGTGTCGACACTGAACTAGTACTCCTGAGAGTCCTTCACCTCCTCCAGGAAGGCCAAAGTGCCAGAACAAGGTTCCGTTGTTTTTAAGGTGTACAAAATTTGTAGCTAGGCTGAGTTGGTATCATTTTAAAACAGCCTGAACAACTGTGAAGATTTATCATTGCCACATCATTGCCTTCATGATATATCAATTTATATAATTAATAGAGAGTTCTTTGTCAAGAACTGATTTTCTAGTTGCCATGTGCATACAGACAAATGTTATCAGCTTTACCAAAATTTGCTCAGAAGCAAGATGAATGACCTGTGTGTGCCTGCCTGGTAACAACCAACTCACACCTCAAGTAGCCAAAGAAATACAACACAACACAAAACAGCAAAAACAAACAAAACAAAAAACCTCCATGCCACCATAGCTAGAAGCAAGGTCCAGTCTCACAGGGAAAGATCCGGTATGTGTCCACTCACATCTGACATCTCAGAGGGAGGCTGGGGAGACTGAGGTCAGAGGCTGGCATTAAGTCCATCCAGGTTATTTACCAGGAAGGAAGGTCCCCAGGTTCTGGGAGGTTTGAGGTATCTCATGGGATAATGAGCTCGCTGGCAGAGGTAGGCGAGGTAAGGCTGCCAGGACTAAGACACTGGCAAGCAGCAGCTGGATGAGAATGCAAAACCATTTTAGAGAGTTGTTACCAGATAACACTGGATAGAAAGACTGAAACAAATCTGAGCTGTGATGAGAATTCTCAATACACGTGTTAGTCTCCATTTAAGAAGACGGAAGGCAAGGAAGGACATCTATCTTAGAATAGTTTCCATCAAGAATGGTTAAGCTAAATCCGGGGCTCATTAAAAGCAATCAGCTCCCAGTACTTATAAACATGATTCCCCAAATTCCAAATGAATCTTCTATATACACGGGTATAGTTTGAGATGTGGAGTCTTTCTTTCCTTCCCTCCTTCCTTCCTATCTTCCTTCCTTCCTTCCTTCCTTCCTTCCTTCCTTCCTTCCTTCCTTTCTTTCTTTCTTCCTTTCCTTTTCTTTCTTTTCTTTCTTTCTTCCGGTGCCCTCTAGGTCAATCCTAGGGCCTCAAGCTCAGCAAGTGAACTACATCACCAAACTAAACCCTGAATCTAAACCTTGGGGTTTTAGAGCCTACAAATCTTGTTTACACATGAAAGCTTATCTAAACAACTGAAATAAAAATGAGTGGCTGCAAACACGCCCTTGAGAACATGCAGTCCTGAGGCTTGGCTCCTCACGGTGCCCGAGGCCACAGCTGCATCCATAGCATCTTATCACTCCTGGTGATGTTCCAGGAGTCCAGAAACAGGTGGACCTCACGATAAGGATTTATTACTCTAGTGTGAAGTCACAGGAATGCTAGATTGATGGGTATTCATTTTGAGACTGGGAAAGTACCTCCCCTCCTTTCCCATGTAGCTCATCTTTAGCTCTCAATGGCTCACATTTAACTCTCAGCAAAACATAACAAGGGGTGTGATAAGGCACCTCCTGGGTTTCCAAGTCCTCGTGTCTCAGCTGCTACTCCCCAGACCATGCCTTCCCCACCACACCGGCAGTTGACGGGTGAACTGTCTCCTCAGGTGATCTCAACCTGTCCAGCTCTGTCCAGCGGAGCAGACCCGACTCTTCCCAAACACCTGCTGAAGACAGGGCCCCAACCCATGCTTCACCCAGCAACACCGTCAGAGACACCCCGAATCACATCTAACCACTTTTACTTCCACCGATTCAAGCAAGATGTAGAGGAAAGAACGGGAGCCTTGGAACCAAGGAACCCTGGGTTGAATCCCAGCCACATCAGCCAGGCTGAGCTCTGTGACCAAGAACAAATGATTTCACTTTTCTTGGCCTCAATTCCTTCATACACTAAAGCAGTGGGCTTCAAGGAGAAAATGGGGTGATAAATATCAATTGCCTGACTCATAGTAGGTGTCTCGTGATCCTCCTCTTCTCCCTTTCTGTTCCCACTTACTTTTTTCTCCCATGGCTATGCACAGACACCCCCTCACCCTCCACCATACCTCCCCCCCCACCCTACCCCCACCGCTGCCACCATGCTTCCTGTTACACCTGAGTCACGAAGACTTGCTTTAAAATCCTCTGTCAGGAGAGATGATTGCAGAGCACTGCCCAACTCTCGTTCCTGAAATAGAAATGACAAAACTGCAAATTGAAGCTAAAAGGGAATGATGGGTAAAGAGTAAGGGAGCTAAGAGGACCAGGGCTTTCCCAGCCTTCCTGTCCTCCTTCCTCCATGAACAGTATCACCAGATTTAGCAAAGAAAATGAGCATTGCCCAGTCATATTTTGCCTGCAGATAAACACACAGTCTCCCAGTGAGAGCGCTCAGCAAGAAGGAAGATGTCTCTGTTGCCAAGAGAGCAATGGAGGAAGAAGACTAAGATCAGCCTGAGTGACTGTGCCTCCCACCTAGTACCACCAAAGAGACCCCTCTCTGGCCAACAGCAAGGTCCTGGGGCAGTCCCAGGAAGAGCCAGGAAGCGTCATGTACATACTGGTGATGTCACATCCATTAAGCAGGCCAGTTACAGGTACCTGGCTTTGAAGTTTAACGTTGTCCGGCCTGCACTAAACGCTTGTGTTCCTCGGAACTTGTTTATTCGCTAGTTTAAAACATAGCTTTGCTCCATAAGCATATTACTCATATAATTCTAAGAACAAAGATTTACTCTCTTTTTGCATTGCCATCGTTAGAAGCCAGGGCCTGGCATGTGCTAGGCAATCGCTCTACCACTGACCCCCACCTTGGTCCTAAGACCATCAGATGAGACAAGTCCCTACACCCAAATATGAAGGGCCTTTTCCTTGACACATCTGCATTTGAATCCTCTGTCTTCAGTGGGAAGGAGTGACAAGGGTCCCACGTGGGAACGCACGAATGGCACAGCGAACGCTGAGATACCATCTCAAGCGGATCGTGGCACTCACTTCTCAGTTGGGCCCCTGGCTTGTGTGCACCCCATCTCTCGCAAACCCGGTCGCCAAGAGGACCCACCTAAAGAACAATTCAACATGTCACATTCCTGCTCAGAATCTCCAGGGACATCCCCTCCAGCTCTGAGTGAGAGGCAGAGCCTTTCCCGCGGTCTTTAGGTGGTGAGGGGCTTGGCTCTCCCTTGATCTCCCTGGGTCACCCTGGGGAAGCCATCCTGGTCACAGCACACAGAAGCCCTGTGTAGGGGGCCCTGTTTCCCCTTCTTCAAGGCTTTGTACTAAGATGGATTTCCCATTGCCTTCCCTAGCCTCACTGTAAAACCTATACCTCCTTTCGATATATTCCCCCCCTGTGCCCCCAATCTTATCAATCCACTGCAAGTTTAATTTAACTCCATATTTGGAATCTCTCCCACTGGAATTAGGGCGGAAGTCACAGCATTTTGCTCTCTGCAGTATATAGCGTTATTAGTCAGTAGAATTTCTTGCTGAGTGCTGAACTGACACAAGGCAGAAATAATGATGAGCTATCCTGGGACAAGGTGAATAAACATGGGATTCCCATCGAGATGTTGAAGTTGCAAACCAGATCTTCTCCATGAAGCCCCTCACTTGCTCTCTTCCTCATGAGAAGAATACAGAGACAGAAAGCAGACTTGTGATTTTCCTGCTTCCGATGTGAATACTCAGAAATATAGGGGCTGGAGATGCACTCAGCCCTCGCCCAGTGCATGTGAGGTCCTGCGTGCGGCCCCCAGCACTGGGATGGAACAACATCGCTATTTCTTTGACAGGATGTGGTGACGTTGTCCCATAATCCCATACACAGAGGGCTGAAGGCCAGCCTGGGCTACACAGGGGAACTGTCTCAAACGAATAAACAAACACAAACAAAACCTACAAGCAAATCAGGGGCTGGCAAGATGGCTCAGTGGGTAAAGTCACCGACCTGAAAGCCAAGACTATTGAGGACCACATGGTAAAGAACGGACTCCAGCAAGTTGTCCTCTCGTGTGTATCTGCACACACACACACACACTAAATTTTTCAAGCATGTCACAACCTTTCTACCGTTGGGATTTTATCAGGTCATACCATCAAAGAAAGGACACATATTTTCTTAAACTAATACCCACTGCTTCCCAGGTCTCCACGCTCAGATGAAAACAGTTAGTGAATTCTAGAATGAAGAATGTGCTCCGACGAAGTTTCAGGACAGATGGCATTCAAGACATTCTGCTTAAAAATGTCCATATCTACCAGCCCTTTGGCAGAGGTCCAATCAAAGGACCTTTAGCCATAAGACGTACAAAGGCCCCACATGCAGAACACAGTCCCCCTTACCTCCCGGCCGCGTCCTGGATGAGCTGCTGCACATCCACCTCCTGCTTCCTCAGGGTCCCAAACGAAGAGCAACTCTCCACCACACCTTTGCCCCCAATGTTCAACTTCATCTTCCCTACAACCGTCCCAATGTTTCCACTCTTATGGTTCTCAAACTTGCTTTCGTATTTCACGAAGTCTGACTCCACGACCACTGGAAGGAAGAGAGCAGAAGGCTCTGAGGGAGGGAAGATGCCTCAGTGTCGTGGCCTGCCCCACTTCCCCAGCAGCCTCTTGGAAAAACCCACACCAGCATCCAACTGGAATGGGTAGCAGGGCTGGGCAGTGTTTAGTGAAATGTGGTCAGCATACCTATATGCTGGATGAGCACAGCCCTGACCTGGCCAGGGGTGCTCGGCCCCTCCTTAGCTACTGTGATGGTTTACCTTCATTGACAACTTGAAAGGATCCGGAATCACCCAAGAAACAAACCTCTGGATGTGCCTTGGAGGGGATTTAGAGAATGGATTAATTGAGGTAGGAAAGCCCCATTGAATATGGGAGGCACCATTCCCAGGGCTGCTGTCGCAGACCACGTGAGGAGGACACAGTGAGCTGACTGCGGACAGGATATGACCAGCTCCCTCTTTCAGGCCTTTCCTGTCATGAACTGTACCCACAAAGTGTGAGCCAAAATGAAGCCTCTCTTAAGTTGGCTTGGTCAGGTGTTTTATTGCTACAAAGATCATAAGTAATCAAGACGGCCACCATCTGAGGCGAAGACTAAACTTGGACTAATGGAGGATGACAGGAGACACCTATGTCCATGCTTTTGCCATAAAGCCCAGGGGAGATACAGCATGGCAGATCCTCCTGGATAGTCCTTCCCACCACCAGTCATAAAGAGTAACTTTCTGCTCCTCCTTAATGTCTCCAAGCAAACCCAATGTTTCCATTACACCTGACCTCCGGCCGGAAGGTCAGTTCTTCACCATGTCTCTCTGCTGAGGTCACCAATGTGCCCACTCCCCCAGTCACCTCTCGAAGCATGCAAACCCCCAGACTCTTGCTTTCCATTCTGGTTTTTCAGACTCTGAGAATCACAGCAGTACCACCTTGTAGTCCAGTGTCAAGCAAGTCAGTTGGGAAGTGCCTCGTTCCTCACCCACAGTCAGATGTTCTACCAAGCTATCCCCTTGCTCTCCATCTGACCATGCGCAGCTGAGGGCTAGCAGGGTGCCTTCCGTGCCCTGCCACTGCTCTGAACCCTCAGGAGTAACACCTGACGAGCTCGCATGTGCACTACCAGCCTGTCTGCCTGTCTTCCTCCCTCCCTCCCTCCCTCCCTCCCTCCCTCCCTCCCTCCCTCCCTTCCTCCCTCCCTCCCTCCCTTTCCTGTCTTCCTTCCTTCCTTTATTTATTTATTTTCCATCTTCCTATCTCTCCATCCCTTTCTTTTTTCTGTCTTTGGTGCTCAGTATTGAATCCAGGGTTTTAAATATAGTAGTCAATTATTCTACAACAAATACTCGCCCCCAGGCCACTGTCCCCATTGTACTGTCAAGATACAACTCTAAAAATATAGCCTCAGTCACCACCATTTAGTAAGGGGACATTAAAGCCTGTGTGGACATCATACTCTGCCTTTTTATGTCCTTCACACAAGTCTGTCCGAGGCTCCTGACTGATCTTCAGAAGGGATTCCAAACTACCTGGAGCCTGACAGACTTCCTTCTCCTTACCCACTACCAGAATCATGGAATGTGTGACAGGAACCAGGGGTCGGGTAAAACCTTCAAAGGCCTTGCAGAGTAACCTACTCCCACCAGCTGTCCCCATCTCTTGTGGGTTCAACTGCTCTCAGTGTAACACCATACGCTGGGGACCAAGCATTCAAAACATTAAACTACGGGGTAAAATGTTTAGATACAAAACATAAAAGTCCCCAAGACTGATCACATAGTGATAGAGAGAAATCAAGATTATATTCATGAAATGTTGCCCCTAGACCTTCTAAAAAGATGTCACTTATATACAGTTCTTTATCAAGTCATCACCTGATGAAAGGGGAGCATTGGGCTATCAATGAACCACCAACAATCCAATCACCCCCCCCCTCCCCATCCTCTGCAACACTCACATCGGTGTTGAGGCAAGTGGGGAAAAGCAACAAAGATGAAGCCTCTTGAGTCTGCCCTTCCCAGCCATGACTCCAACAGGACTCAGGACCCAGCTGAGCTCTGACCTCAAATGATGGTCATATTCAGGAATCCCTTATCTGTGGTGACAAGTGACATCACCAGTCCAACTTAATTCTGCATCGTCTTTCAAGATACCACCACGTCATCATCTGAACATCACAGGGAAAAATTTCAGTTACTCAGCAGCTGTCAGTGTGGTTTATGTTTCCCCTCTTGTTCCAAGTTAGACTTAGTTATTGTGCTACTCGAAAGGGGTTTTACCATCAAGTACGTAAACCTGGGGGCTGAAGGAGTGTGATGATGGATATTGTCAACTTAACAGGCTCTAGACCTAGAAGACAAGCTGTCAAGAATGCCCGAGAGGGGTGGTCCAGATTAGGACAACTGAGGTGTGAGGGTGTTAGACAGACATATGGACACACAGACAGATAGACAATAGAAGCAGCTCAGATACCTCTTCCGCTAGGACCAATAAAAAGTAAACCGCAAGAGTCCCAGGTCATAGGCAGGGAATTTCATCCAACTGATACCATAAATGCCGAGCCCCTCCATAGCCACTTTTGGGACAACTTGAGAGACCACCCTGCTCCCCTCAGAAGGCATCACTTTGTAAGAAACAACACTCAGCATGCCCTTCTTGTGAGCTCACAGCATTTTCAGTCTTGACACCAAACCACTTATGCCAAGTGCCTCTAACATTTATGATGGGCACAATGAACTTTTTTTTCTTTTTTTCTTTTTTTCTTTTAGTTTTTAATATTAGTTACAGTTTATTAACTTTGTATCCCAGCTGTATCCCCCTCTCTCATTCCCACCCAATCCCACCCTCCCTCCCTCTTTTCTTTCCTGCCCCTTTCTAAGTCCACTAATTAGGGGAGGACCTCCTCCCCTTCTATCTGACCCAAACTTATCAGGTATCTTCAGGACTGGCTGCAGTGTCCTCTTTGTGGCCTAGCAAGGCTGCTCCTCCCTCGGGAGGGGGATCAAAAAGCCAGTCATTGAGTTCATGTCAGAAATAGTCCCTGTTCCCCTTACTAGGGAACCCACTTGAATACTGAGCTACCATGGGCCACAATGAACTTTTATATCCAATCTGATTATCACTTTAAAAATACTAAGATCTCATTTAATTTCATTTCAGGTGTACATAATTGTGCTCATTAAGAAAGGATATCCCTTTATACCAGAGAGCCAAAGAAAAAGAAGAATTCACTATGAGGCACACCTCCATTTCAGATGCCAAGAAGAGCCATCTTCCCTCTGGGGACTAGTCACTGGACTTCACAAGGAAACGTACCTGGACTGAGACTGTGCCCTTTGTTGAGAACATCTCCCAAGGTGACAGATAGAAACTGGTACTTGGGTCTCTGCCAGCACCAGTATCTCTTCTTTTTGGTCACCAGACTTAGAAGTTGCAGCTTGTCAGAGTCATTCAGGTGTGAGACTGAGATCAGGTCTCCTCCATCATCAACTTCTTTAAGGAAGTTCCGAGTTGCTTTGGCAAACATCTTGTTGGGTTGAGATTACCTGAAAAAAAAAAAAAAAAAGTAATAAGGTTACTATAGACTAAAATATGGAGGGGTTTTTTGTGTCTTTCTAAAATTATATTTTTCTATAGTCACAAGAGTCAGTATAAAAGAATGTGCCCCCTCCAAGAAACCAACTAATGTGAGTTCAATTGATGACAATGAAATCGAACTGAAAAAAAGGGAAAGATCAACTGAGACATAAACAGAAAAACTCAACTGACACAGCATGGAAAGAGAACATGTTTCCGTTGGGATAGGCCAGGTTGTATGTCAGAAGCAAGCATCCCTGAAATCACAGTGGCTTAGAGCAATAAAAGTTTATTTGTTGAGCTGGGCTTGGCGGTACACATCTGCAGTCCCATGAAGCAGAGAGAGTTGACACAAGTTCAAGGCCAGCCTGGACTGGTTCCAGGGCAACTAGATCCTGTCTCAAAAGAAAATTATTGTTGCTTCTGCTGCACATCAATACAGATGACACAGGAGTGGTCTGGGGTTTTATTTTAATTTTAATTTTTAAGTTTTTTTTTATTTATTTATTTATTTATTTATTTATTTATTTATTTATTTATTTATTTTACAAGATCTCATTCCTTAACCCATGCTTGCCTGAAACTCACTGCCAGCTCAGGGTGACCTTAAATTCTGAACCATATTCCTGCCTCAGCTTCCCAAATAGTAAGGCTCCCAGCACCTGGATGAGAGTTTGATTTATTGTGGCCATTCAAAGACTCAAAAAGGAAGCCACTATCTTGAACATTTCCAGTCATTATACAACATAAGAGAGAGTTCTAGAAGGTCTCCATTAGTCATTTAACATCCTGGCACAAGACGTACTAATGGCATGTTTTCTTAGGACTTGTCAAAACCCGGCTTTAACCAACCATGAGAGTCAAGAACACAGTCCTACTAAGAAGCTGGAAGGCAGAGACCTAGGGATATTTGTTGCCGTAATGACTTCCAAACACTCAATTAAAAGCAGATTGGAGATGTTAAAAAGTAACTGCATCCATATTGAACATGCGCAGACTCCCCTGAAAACAACGCTGTACTAAGAAAAAGGCCAAGCCTGTAAACAACGTACAGGTGATTTAAATAGGCCAGACACTGCGTGCAGGATGTATGAGAACCTTATGGCATTTTGCAGGAGGAGGGCTGGCGAAGGAAGCTGATCGGTATTGTCAGTTCCAGCACTGCTTCATCCTGGAAGCCTGACTCTGTCGATGGGGGAATGAAGGAGGGCCGACACACAAACACACGTGCAGAAAATCTGGGATCAGGTGGGCTCTGCTCATTCTGGTGGAGCAGTACCTTCTGTAACAACTTGGAAACTCAGAATGTTTATTTTAAACACCCGAAATCTGAGCTGAGGAGTCTGCTTTAGTGCATGCAGCTGAATAAGGAGGCGGGCTCATGGTACACAACTAACTGCACAGGAAGATGGGTTTAGCCAGCCTTGACAGGAGGGCTGGGTAGGGAAGCAGAATCGAGCTCTAGTCACCTGGGACAGGGAAGCTGTGCTTAACAGCTTTTGCACATACTGTCAGCATTTGCACTTGGCAGGCAGAGGAGGGCTTTGCCATTTCCCTCAGAGCCTCGGAGGCTTTTCCTCCCCATGGGTCTGAGGCTTCCGGGTCCTTGACATGGCTGTGCCCAAGTCAACAAGACACATTCACTCAGAACGCTCTCCACTCCTCACACATTCGCTCAGGACTTCCTCCGTCTCTACACCGCATGAGCTTTCCTACTCAAGTGAATACGAGCTAGCTATAAGTTTTTAACCCAGTCACACTTCAGCTGGAAGGAAAAACGAAGCTCAAGAAGAGGAAAAGGGAAAGTAGCATATTCAGTGGGAGAGGTAGAGGCTAGCAAGCGGGCTGACTTTCCAGAGGGATCATCTCATCCCTTCCTCACACCAACACAGGAAAATATTAGCAACAATCAGAATTTCTTCGAAGAAAATGAAACCACAAAAATGATAGGAAACCAAGTACTGTGGTGCACACCTGTACTCCCAGCACTGGGGGAGGCAGAGGCAGGTGGATCTCTGTGAGTTCAATATTTACAACAAGAGCAGTCATTTTTAAATAACTCTTAGAGGCTGAAGTGTTTACAAGCACTTGTTTTGTTTCTAGCACACAGATGGAGGCTCACGCCTGTCCAAAACTCCAGTTTGAGGGAATCTGATGCCCTCTTCTGGTCATTGCAAGCACTGCCTATATCGGGCGGACAGGCAAAGACCCATTCATAAAATTAACATAAATAAATGCTAAAACCAAACTTATACAATCAAATACTTGAGTATAAACAAAAACATCTTATGTTATAAAACAAATTTAACATAGTCAATTATATACGTATATACACAGATTTCAAGTCATATATTTAATAAATAGTACACAAAAAGCACTTGAAATAACACTTTTATTTGCTTGGGGTTTTTATTTTTGTCTCTTTGCTTTTCTGTAGGCTTTCTAAAAAGCTGTGCATGTAACAGCCTAGGGTAGCTCATAATCCCCCTCTTCAGCCCCCCCCCCCCCCCCCCCCCCCCCCCCCCCCCCTCTCCTTCCCCCCCCCCC